CAACATTCCATACATCAACTGTATCAAGCATCTTTGTACATATGCTGCCATCATCATTTCCAAAACATTTTCTACTTGAGTCCTTGGTATCAGCTCCTCTTTTTCCCCCTCCTCTCCAATCCTCCCACCCTCATGTATTCTTGATCAATTATATATTGTTATTTTATATCTTATACAGTCCATTGTCTCTCTTCACTCACATTTCTGTTATTCGTCCCCTTGTTGGGGGAGGGGCTATATATCCAATCTTGTGATGGGTTCCCCCTTTCTCACTTTTCCCCCTTACCATCCCCCTACCCCTATGATATCGCTACTCCCACTACTGTTCTTGAGGGTTTTGTCTGTCCTGAAATCCATGTGCTGAAAGCTCTTATTTGCACCAATGTGTATACTCCAGTCTAGCCAGATTTGTAAGGTAGAACTGAGTCACGGTAGTTGGTGGGGAGGAAGCATTCAAGAACTAGAGGGAAAATGTGTGTTGTCCCTTCGTTGTAACCCTTCTGTGGAGGTGTCTTGGTGTTGTGACTGCTACATTTATGACCATCAATTGTGAATCCTTGTCAACTTTGATCTTTTTTCCATTTCTCATCAAGCTGCCTTTTGGTCCGGTTATGAGGAATTCTTTTTACCTTCTTAACGTCTAGTTGCACTTCATTTAGAGGTGCCCTCTTTGATCTTCATCAGCACGTACTTCAAGTTCACCTTGATTTCAGCAAATGAAGTTGTGCCATCTGCATACCACATGTTTTCAAAAGTTTTTGATCTTGATGCTCATTGTTCATCGTAAACCAGCCTCTGATTATTTGCTTCCATAAACATTCAATAAAAATAGTGTCAGGATACAACTCTGCAGCTCATCCTTCCCACCAGTGTTCCCTTGTTTCCTTTATTAAGTTCAACATGAGCACAGTGAAGTGTTCTGGAACTCCCTTTCTCCTCAGTGCTGTCTATAGTTCGTCATGATCTGCACAGTCAAATGCCCTGGCATAGTCGATAAAACACAAGTGTATATCTTTCTGGTATTCCCTGCTTTCAGCCAAGATCCATCTGATATCAGCAACGAGACGTCTCATGGCATGTCCTCTTCTGAATCAGCTTAAATTTCTGGTAGCTGCAACCGTTGTTAAATGATACTGTTTCATAAT